GTCCCGGTGGGGAGACGGGTGATGAGATCGGGAGCTGACCCCCGCCGTGTGCACGCTAGACAGGAGCCTTGTGTCCCAGTGGGGAGACAGGTGATGAGATTGGGAGCTGACCCCCGCCGTGTGCATGCTAGATCAGAGTCTGCGGAGAAGGAAAACCCACAGGGAGGGGATATTATTGCAGCCAGGAGCAAATGCACTGGGATGGAGTGTGGTGGGTATCTCATGGTGGGAGCAGGTCGTGGGCACGCACAGGCGGATGGAGGGCGACCTGGCGGTGGTGTCGGCCCGAGTGCAGAGTCATGCCATCGCTATGGGCTTCTGGTCCCAGACACAAGCAAGACCCCCGGCTGTCGAGTTCAGGCCAGAGTGAAGGGTCAGGAGCAGAAGGCCGGGGCCTTTGCTTATGGTGAGAGAGGCGGTCCAGAGGTGTGGGAGGTTCAGGGAGGCTGTGCAGGTGGAAGCCACAGGATGGCCAGCTGAGCAGGCGTGGGGCCTGAGCCTCTGGAAGAGCCCAGTGGCCGGTTCTGAGCTGTGATGCTCGGAGGGGCAGAGTCCAGGGAGAGGGACCTCAGGAGCCAGGGTCGCCTGGGGCTGGACGGGATGCTGGCTGGACACCCAGGGTGAGACTGAGGATGGGGAAGGTCACCAGGGGCCACCTTCACAGAGCAGAGAGGGTGGAGGAGAGCAGAGACCCGTCCGGGGGCCCCTGCAGGAGGAGGCGCGGGGGAGCCTAGAGGCGAGCGTGCGGGAAGGCATGGTGCCTCAGGAGCTGAGGCACCCAAGCCCTTCTCACGAGGAGCTCAGCTCAGGGGGGTCGGGCGGCCAGGGCTTCCTGAGCAGCTCGCTGGTGGTCGCGCTAGATGGAGCAGACTTAAATTTCCATAAAGTTTCAGCTCAAATTGCAGAAAGCCAGTTTTATTAAATTAAACAAATATAAAGTTTTTATGAGGTAAAAATAAATCATTTAAAATTTTCAGAATTTGTGCTGTGTTCCTCACACTGAGGCCTTTCTTCTGCGTTGCTCTAAAATGTGTTGGCAGAGTTCTCAGCAGCCGCTGGGGATTTAGCAGGAATGTTTCTCTGGGCTTCTTACGTTCAGGTCACTGGGCAAGTTTTGTCTACAAGCACACTTACTTTCAGCACTTGGTAGAACTAAAACTTACATATGAAGCACTTTTCTTAAAAACAAGTTCCCTTTTAGTGCATGTAGGATATGCTTTCAGAGTTGTTCTATTTAAAGCTGTTTTGTAGACAAAACAAAGAATGTTACCAGCAGTGAAGCCCTGTCCTCAGACCGGTGTGTCTGACGCACGCTTGTCCTGGGCGCCGCGCAGGGGCGGGCGGCTGGGCCAGGACCACAGCACTTGGGAGCTGCAGAGGGTCCCTCCCCGCCGCTCAGTCATTACCGTTGCTGACGCTCGGCCCTTTCCTGGCCGCGCCCTAGTCGGTCTCTTCACGGGTCCGTGTTTAGGGAGCTAGGACCAAGCTGGTGCCCAGGAAAGGGGCCCACCTCCTGACCGCTTACGGTTCCGAACACAGGAGCCTACGGTGCGGGCAGTAACGCGGCGGTCTACCGCATGTTGTCACGCGACCCTCCTTGACGCCTGGTGAGGGAGCGCGGGGTCAGGCCGCTGGCCGGGGTAGCAGGGCGCATCCGGACCGGCCTTAGCCCTGGGCCTCTGTTCCGAGCGGGCAGTGGGGTGGGCCTCCCAGCGGAGCCGGCTGCATGTGACCCGGCTGCAGGGCGTGCTGGCAGCCGGCCGCTCCCGAGGGCAGCCCCGTCTCCGACCGGCCCCGAGGCTGCTGTGCGTAGTGGCGGCCTGTGACGGGTGTCCGAGCGGTTAGGGGGCCCGGCGCCTGGGGAGAGGCATCCGCACTGGAAGCTGCACAGGCCCCGGAGGCGGGAGAGGGGCGGTGGAGCCCAGGCCGGCTGCAGGCACCACGCTGCGCTAGGGCACCTCCTACGTGTGCCTGCGCGAGGTCCCGGCGCCCCCCGCGGAGGGGTTCCACCTCGGACCCCGAGCGCTCTGTCCCCCTGTGTGCGCACACCTGTGCCCGCGGTCCCAGCGCCCCCGCAGAGGGGTTCCATCGCGGACCCCGCGCGCTCTGTTCCCCTGCGCGCACACCTGTGCCCGCGGCCCTGGCGCCCCCGAGGAGGGGTTCCATCGCGGACCCCGCACGCTCTTCCCCTGCGCGCACACTTGTGCCCGCGGCCCCGGCGCCCCCGCAGAGGGGTTCCATCGCAGACCCCTGAGCGCCCTGTCCCCAGCGCGCACACCTGTGCCCGCGGCCCCGGCGCCCCCGCGGAGGGGTTCCGCCGCGGACCCCTGACCGCTCTGTCCCCAGCGCGCACACCTGTGCCCGTGGCCCTGGCGCCCCCGCAGAGGGGTTCCATCACGGACCCCTGAGCGCCCTGTCCCCAGCGCGCACACCTGTGCCCGCGGCCCCGGCGCCCCCGCAGAGGGGTTCCGCCGAGGACCCCGCACGCTCTTCCCCTGCGCGCGCACACCTGTGCCCGCAGCCCTGGCGCCCCCGTGGAGGGGTTCTGCCGCGGCCGCTGCGGACTCTGTTCCCCTGCGCGCACACTTGTGCCCGCGGCCCCGGCGCCCCCGCAGAGGGGTTCCATCGCAGACCCCTGAGCGCCCTGTCCCCCTGCGCGCACACCTGTGCCCGCGGCCCCGGCGCCCCCACAGAGGGGTTCCGCCGCGGACCCCGCGCGCTCTGTTCCCCTGCGCGCACACCTGTGCCTGCGCTGGGTTTCAGTGTGCCCTTCCCCTGAGCGCCGGTGGTCGTGCGATTCCGTCACGGGTGTTCGGAAGGTCTGACAGAGCCTGCAGACTGCGAGCTGTCACCCGAGGAAGTACCGACCCCCAGAATTTACCCGCGTGCTGTAGGCTCTAACTGCCGCGGGCCGCGACGGCCACCGCTTCTGAGCCAAAAGCTAATGGCTATAAAAACATCATTTATAGTTTGTGTTTGGGGACTTTCCTGCTCTTTTTTATTTTTTGTTTTATGTTGTGTGTTTGCTTTCCAGACCACGCCAGAGTGCTCTCAGCTTTCTTTAACTACTGGGTCACACACATCCTTCCGGAGAAACACAGTGAACAAATCGGTGCATCTAAGAAGAGCCAACATTTAGCAAGAAAATATAAAAAGGCAAACATGTGATCGGCAGAGACGTGATTTGTACAAAGAAGACAGAATTGCTAAATTTTCTTTGTAACCTGAATCCCAGGAACTTTGAAAATATCTCTGCCGTGTTATTTATTTGTGTGTTGTACACAATGGGCAACATGCAGTCTGAGACTTTGCGGAACTGGGATAAAATGGAACATTTTCAATTATCAGAAATTGCTTATGTCTCAGATTACTACACAGTGATCCTGTTTTTCTGATTCTTGTAAAAATTGAAAATGGACATTCTGTTAAATTTAATAAACTGTATAGTTTGAAGTTGTTATATATTTTTGTAAAGTAATATAACCTTGTATTTGAAAGTCTCTGTTTTAAGAACACTTTATGGGCATTAAATGTTCTGGTTTAGGTCATTTGATTCTAGTTGAATTTATTATTTTCTTCCTTGTTTCCTCTTCTCTGCTTTGAGAATAACAAGAACATCATTTTCCCGGTTTGATCTTCCCTTTCTCCGTGGTGATAGTCACCTGTTCTCAGGATTACTGGGTTTTAGAGACACCTGTCAGCTGACTCACACTTTAGGAGGTCATTGACTCTGTCCATGAAAATATATTTTTTTATTGTGGTAAAATATGCATAACATAAAATTCATCATTTTAGCCATTTTTAAGTGTACGATTCAGTGGCATTAAGTTATTCGCAGTATCGGGCGACCAATCCACTCTTCAGGCTAAACAGCATTCCACTATATGGATAAGCCACGTTCTGTTTGCCTGCCATCTGCTGATGGACGTCTGGGCTGTTGTGAATAGTGCCGCCCTGGACGCCGTGCACGGAATCCTGTGTGGACACCTGTGTTCCTGCCTCTCGGGGGGTAGGAGTGCCCGGTCCGAAGGTAACTCTGAGTGTGACTTCTCGAGGAAATGCTGGTCTGCTGTCCATGGGGGCCACACCATCCTGCATCCCACCAGCCCTGCACAGAGTGGCCACGGCCCCCACATCCACCCTCACACTGTTATCTTCTGTTTGCTTGGTGGTAGCCGGCCTGATGGCGGCAAATGATGTCTCGTGCGCTTTCAGTTTACATTTCCCTGGTGTTGAATGCTTTTGAGCATATTTTCACCTGCTTGTGGGCCATTCTCTTTTTCAGGGAAATGCCTGTTGAAGTCATTGTCCATTAGGGAATTGGATTATCTGGTTTTTGTCATTGGATTTTAAGAGTTCTTTATATATTCTGAATATTAATCCCTTATCAGAGAAGTGATTTTACGGTGTTTTCTCCCATTTTGTGGCCTGCCTGCCTTGTCTCTATCTCACTACTGTTCTTTGATGCACAAATGGTTTACATTTTGATGGAGTCCAACTTATTTATGTTTTCCTTTGTTGCTGATGCATTTGGTGTCATATCCAGGATATAATTGCCAAACCAGTATCATAAGATTTTTCCCTAATGTTTTCTCCCAAGAATTTCATAGTTCTTTATAACTCTTACATTTAGGTCTTTGATCCACTTTGAGTTAATTTTTATATACGGTGTAAGGTAAAATTCTGATTTCATTGTCTGTGTGTGGATATTCAGTTATCCCAGGATCGTATGTTGAAAAGACTGTCTTTTCCCCATTGACTGGTCTTGGCACCCTTGTTGAGAATCATCTGACCGCATATGTGAGGATTTATTTCGGGGCTCTCTGTTCTATTCCATTCGTCTGTATGTCTGTCCTTATGCTAGGACCACACTATTCTCATTACTGTAGCTTCATAGAAGATATGAGATCAGGAAGTGTAAATCCTCCAGCTTTGTTCTTTTTCAAGATTGTTTTGGCTATTTGGGGCCCCTTGAGATTCCATGTGAATATTAGGCTAGAGTTTTCTATCTCTGGAAAAAACACCTTTGGTAATCATAGGGATTGCACTGAACCTGGAGATCACTTTGGGTGGTGTGGTCATCTCAACACTATTAGTAAGTCTTCCCCTCCACGAACATGGGATGTCTTTCCACGTATTTATGACTCTTCCTAAATTCCCTTTAGCAGTGTTTTGTAGAATTCAGTGTACTAGCCTTTCTCTCCATCATTAAGCTTAGTCCTAAGTATTTTATTCTTTCTGATGTGATTGTAAATGAAATTGTTTTCTTAATTGCCTTTTCAGATTGTTCATCATTAGTATAGAAATGCAACTGATTGGGGCGCTTGGGTAGCTCAGTCGGTGAGCATCTGCCTTCGGCTCAGGTCATAATCCCGGGATCTAGCATCCAGCCCTGCATCGGGCTCCCTGCTCAGCAGGGATTCTGCTTCTCCCTCTGCCTCTGCTGCTCCCCCTGTTCTCTCTCTCTCTCTCTCTGTCAGATAAATAAACCTTTAAAAAAGAAAAAAGAAATGCAGCTGATTTTTGTATATTGGTTTTGTATCCTGCAATGTTGCTGAGTAACAGTGGTGTATGTGTGTATTCTTTATCCCTCCATGTCCTTAAGAGATGCCTGTTCCACTAAGTAGAACCTTCTGGAGGCAGATTGAGACAGCCAGGATTTGCTGCCGGTTCTGGAGAGCCATCAGTTTGCAGCTAGGTGCCGTGAAGCACCCTGAGCTTCATAAAAGTCAGTAAGTGGAGCCACCGGCCAGACCTGGACACTAGGATAGGCCCGCCACACCCCGGGCTGTGACCAAGAGCACGAATGCTCTTGGCCAGGGTGGGCGCACGTCCTAAAGGAGCCATTTTGGGGAGGCCACACCTTGAGGTGAGAGAGGTGGGGCAGCATCACCATTCACTCCCCTGACAACGTCTGGCTCCTCCCCGTGCCCCCCCAGGGAGAAATGTCAGCTGCACGAGGGTCCTACCCATCCACTGCCTCCCTCTCCCCGCTAGTATGAGTCAGCACAGAATGTGGGTGAGGTCCGAGCCCCGGGAGTCACGTCCCTTCCCACGGGGACCAGGGACCGCTCAGCAGCACAATGTCAACTGCTCCTTGCCTTCAGGGACCACCTGGCTGGCCTTAGGAAACCTGACTTTTCATGGACCCAGATAGTGACCCTCCCCCAGCGCCTGTGAACTAATAAGCTGTGTCTGCCAATACGAAAATACTGACAGATTCATTCATTTTCCTGTTAATTCTCAGCGTCTAATTTGTGTCTCTTAATTAGGATCAATTTACATTTTTTCTGTGCACAGCAAGTTAACACACTGTTGACAGAGAGGAAAACCCTGCAGTTGGCAGACAGACGGCCCTTCATTTGGTCTCTTTCGTCTCAGCACAGAATCCGGCCAACTCCCCTCCTCCCCCTTCCCCACCCCGTGGGGTTTTGCCTTCTCTGTTTCCCCCGCCACACCCCAAAATACACAGGAACAGGATGTAATCCCACAGGCAGGGCGGTCAGGGTCAGTGGGTTTTGTGTATCATTCTAATTCAAAGAAGAAAAAAATGCCTCTTCTAGAGAACAAAAGCAAATAAATCCTGTCTCTAATGTGTTGGCATAAATATGGTAATGTTTATCACCATGGGGTTGAAGTTGGGTAATAATTAGATCAATTTATCGTTTATGAAAATGCAGAATATTCATGAGGTGCATGTGACTTGTTCTCTGTGAACCAGTCACAACAAAGAGAAGGAAGCTCTCAGGAAATGGGTGGGTATGCATTAGCTTGCTGATACTGAGACCGTGGTGTTCCGGAGAAAAGCCTGTCCACACCTTCCTGCAGCCCTGAGACCCCAGAGGCCCCAGACGAGGCCATGGCATGCGCGCCCGAGCTTTTCCTGCCCCCACAACCCAAGGGCTGCAGTGTTTTCAGAGAAAAGCTGCCCTGAGTTCACCTGCACCAGCACTTGGCTGATTCTGGATTTTTCTTCTGTGTCCAGCACATGCTTGAGCCCCAGCGTTTTCTCGGGGGACCTTGTCTTCTCATTTGGGGCACATGTTCTTCAGAGAATCTAATGAAAGCATCAGACCCTCTCCAAAATAAGGAGCGGATGCACGTGTCCACCCCACCCCGGACACACAAATATCGTGCACAACTTTATTTTTTTTTTAAAGATTTTATTTATTTATTTGACACAGAGAGACACAGCGAGAGAGGGAACACAAGCAGGGGGAGTGGGAGAGGGAAAAGCAGGCTCCCCATGGAGCAGAGAGCCCAATGCGGGGCTCGATCCCAGGACCCTGGGATCATGACCTGAGCCGAAGGCAGACGCTTAATGACTGAGCCACCCAGGCACCCCTCGTGCACAACTTTAAAGAGGTTGCATGTTCCCCCAAACCCATTCGCCAGTGTGTTAATATTCTCCTTCTGCACAACAAATGACCACAAACCAGTGGCTTAAAACAGCACGCATGTATTCGTCCCAGTGTCTGTAGGTCAGGGCGCAGGCCTAGCTACCTGGCTCGTGTGCTCAGGGTCTCACCGGGCTGTTGGTGGAGCTCTGTTCCTATGGCTTAGGACTGAGGTCCCGGTGTTCTTGCTGGCTGTTGGCCAGGACATCTCTCAGCTCCTTGAGGACCCCATGTCCCAGCCACGGACCCCTCTGAGCCCCTCCAACCTGGCAGGGACCCCTTCAAGGCCAGCAGAAGAATCTAGGAAGAGCTGAGCCTTCTCAAGGGCTTCCCCTGATGGATTGGACCCACCAGGATGCTCTCTCTTTTGAATAATTTAAAACTGATGAATGGGCAACTTCAGGATCCTGCAGTAAATGCAGACAAGCCTTTATTGTGCTCACACTGCTCACAGGGCACCCGGCCACTGCAGTGTCCGCCACACATGGGATGCCTGGTGCATGTGCACACACGGGTCACAGCACACGCGGGTGTCCGGAATATGTGCACGCATGAGTCAGCACATGCAGGTGTCCTATGTATACATGCATGAGTCAGCACACGCAGGGGTCCCGTGTATCCGCGCATGAGTCAGCACACACAGGGGTCCCGTGTATGTGCACACAAGTCAGCACATGCAGGGGTCCCGTGTATGTGCACACACAAGTCAGCACATGCATGGGTCCCATGTATGTGCACACATGAGTCAGCACACGCAGAGGTCCCATGTATGTGCACACGAATCAGCACACGCAGGGGTCCCGTGTATGTACACACATGAGTCAGCACATGCAGGGTCCCGTGTATGTGCACACATGAGTCAGCACACGCATGGGTCCCGTGTATGTGCACACATGAGTCAGCACACGCCGGGGTCCCGTGTATCCGCACACGAGTCAGCACACGCATGGGTCCCATGTATGTGCACACATGAGTCAACACGCGCAAGGGTCCCATGTATGTGCACACAAGTCAGCACACGCAGGGGTCCCGTGTATGTGCACACATGAGTCAACACGCGCAAGGGTCCCATGTATGTGCACACGAGTCAGCACACGCAGGGGTCCCGTGTATGTGCACACATGAGTCAGCACACGCAGGGGCCCCGTGTATG